TGATTTTTGGGCATCTTACAGATTGAACTGGGTTGAGACCAAACGTAAAAGTTGTAGCCCTGTCTCTAAGCTTTAAAAGATACCAAAACCGTAGCAATCCGAGTTGTATAACTCAAGTTATGCCTTCTTGAGTGTGACCTGCGCAGAATGACTGTTTGTGCATTTTATAACTGCATTAAGTAAGAAACTTTAAGCATGAACCATCCTTATGCATTAATTGTGCATTGAGAAGTAGTTTGAGAAAGGGTAGAGAACTTTATGAATGGGCTACTCTAAAAGTAAAGAGAATGAGAAAAATCTAAGAATGGGTTGGTGCTTTGTGAACTCCACCCGGCCGTGCCTCTAGTAAGATGAGGCTGTGACATTCTAGTGAGAAAGAATGAGAAAATATGAGAAAGAATAGAGGAATAGAATGAGTAGAAGTCACGAAGAGTGGGTGGGTGCTTTGTGATCTCCACTCAGCCGTGCCTCCAATAAGATGAGGCCGTGACATACAATAGAAAGTTGATAGAAAAGAGCTATGTGAAAGAGAAACAGAAAGAGAAAATAAATGATATGAGAGAAGTGTAAGGAAAGAATTAAGAGAAAGAGTTACAAGGATAGACGAGTAGAGGATTTACTTACTGAGCATTATTTTGTGCTCACCCTGTTGTTTTTCTTTGTGTTTGCAGGATCTAGGTGAGGACGCGGTCGGATGGGCGTCGGCAAGCGAGGAGTAATAGCTACGCTGTCCACTATTTTTGATAACTTTTACTAATGATGCCTTACTTTGTATAAAGAATGATTAAATGTATTACAAGAAAATTTTGGTCCCATTTACTTTTGCTAATATAAATATATTTACTTGATGTATTTCTATGAGTATCCTAGTATGAAGCAGTTATTACACACCATGTTTCCCAATTGACTATAGCCCTTTGGTCTTGGGTTCGAGTGGTGAGGAAAGGCGAAAGAAATCCTTTAAAAGGGGGGAGGGGGGGGGGGGGAATATTCCTTAGAGTCACGAAGAGTGGGTTGGTGGTCTGTGAACTCCACCCGGCCATGCCTCCGGTAAGATAGGGCCGTAACAACTGTACTGGGTACAGTCCTCATCCACATACACTACTCACGGACTGTACAAATACTATATCTCTCTGTTGATGCCGCTCGCTCATGGCAGCGTGTATGTGGGCATCTCTATCACTCGTGGGTTCCCCACGCAAAAACCTTCTATCATAGCATAGAATAGAAAGAGAATAGAAAGAGATACTATGCACATTTCTACATCACTTCCCAAGCTATGGAAATTCTACACTTGCATTCTTTAAAAAAAACAAAAACTTTCTATATATGAACATATCATTTCATCATGACCATTTCATGGATACATAACAAATTCATTACATCAAATATATATGTTCATACAATCATTAAATAATCATAAAGACCACTCATTCAAACATGCTTCACAACCCTTTAAGCATCATTTTCATACTTAGGATCAACCATTGATTATTAGGCTATAAGCAAATTAATAAAGTGGAAGCACTTTTGAGATAGTTATTCTGCACATGTCATATTCAAGAAGGTATATATCAAGTTAGACACATTAGATTTCTATGATATTTATCTCATTTTAAAGCTTAGAGAAAGGGCTACAACTTTTATGTTTAGGACTCAACCCAGTTCAATAGGTAAGATGCCCAAAAATCACTCAGAAGGTCACGGACTTGACAAGGTAACCTTAGTAACATGCCTACTTTAAGGCTTTTCCATACCTATTTACCTCCACTTACTCCCTAACCTTTCCTAACCATTCTCCCCTGTGAAAACAGGTTAAAAGATCAATAATATACATTCAAACTTCAAGTCTTACCTTTCTCTAACACTTTCCTCATTAGGGTTTAGTCAACTCATGCATGCAATTTCTCTTTGGATTTTCATCAAACACTTCATATGCACATGCAACTACCTTGTTGGCTACACCTCCTCAACTCTCTAATTCAAGCAAATTGTGAGCCAAAAACTCACTAATTATAGCATCAAACCTGTCCATTTCCAACAATTCTCTACACTTCAAAAAATTTCAATACAAAATCTTCCACAACTTCACCAAACCATCACATAATCATACACTACTTCCCTTTTTCTCTAAATCTCTTCCTCTTGGACCTAAATCATATAAAAACCATAAGAATTTAAAACTTTAAAGTTTAATCACACTCATTTTGCTAGAATTTTACCTTAGGATGCTTGAAGATTGAAAATCTCCAAAAATCTAAACCAAATCCTATGATTTTCCTTTGAATTTTAGTGAAGAAAATTAAGAGAAAAATGGGGTAGAGTGGCGTGAACAAGGGCTGAATATGTGTCAGGGTTTTCTTCAAATAAAGCCTTATATCAACTAATATAAGCATGTGTTCCCATTTTGCCCTTGGACTTTCTATAAAATTCCATCTATGTCCCTTAGTCAATTACCATAATGCCCTCATTTTTATTGCATTCTCCATGAAATTCTATCTCTTTTCACTCCCCACAATTTCAACTAATTTGAGTGAAAAGACCATTTTACCTTTAATGCAAGTTTAGGGCATTTTCTTCATATTTTCTCAAAATAATTTTAACAAAACTCAACTAAAGTTATAAGAGCATAAATTAAACTACATACCTCCATGTGGGCGTTACAATTCTCCCCTTCTTATAAGAACTTCGTCCCCGAAATTCAAACAAACAACTCAGGATAGCGGTTTCGCATGTCTTGTTCTACCTCCCATGTTGCTTCTTCTACCTTATGATTCCTTCATAGGACTTTTATGAGTTGAATACTTTTGTTTTGGAGCTCCTTAATCTTTCTATCCAATATCTGTATTGGACGCTCCTCATAAACAAGATTCTCTTTTAAGTCAACTTCTTCTACTTCTAATATATGGGAGGGATCACTAATATATCTTTGAAGCATTGAGACATGGAACACATTATGCACTTTATACATATTTGGTGGTAGCGCTAATTTGTAAGCTACCTTTCCCACTCGTTGTAACACTTCAAAAGGGCCAATGTATCTAGGGGCAAGTTTTCCTTCACCACCAAATCGCATTACCCGCTTGTAGGGGGAAATCTTAATAAACACTTTATCACCCACTTCAAATTCTACATCTTTTCTCTTTAAATTCGCATAGCTATTTTGTCTGTCTTGAGCTTGTTTCATTTTGTTCCTGATCAACTTAATATCTTCCATCATTTTCTGAGTTATCTCCGATCCAAGAGCTGCATTCAAAGCATCTTTCTCTCCCACTTCATTCTAATATAGTGGGGATCTACATCATCTAGGATGCGTTGTTACTACAACATGCAAATATAGCAAGTGCACTAGTTGCACAAAGTAATAAAGTGATGAGTGAGTATCATTCCCACGAGGATTGGTTACTAAGCACTGAATTTCCTATTTGTTTTCAAGTTGGAGAAACCAAAAATTGTTTGGATTTATGGGAGAATATAAAACTAAACTGAAAGCAAAATATACTAAGTGTAAAAACAACTAAATTAAGAAAGCAAGATTTGACACAAGAGTAATATCAATGTAAGCAAACAGTTAGGGTTTGACTTTATTCGAACTCTATGGATTAATTCTATGGATTATGCTACTTTTACACTCACATGCATGGATTGTAAACCGAATTCCCTAAGTTGTAAAACATACCTTCTTAGGCTATGAATTCCTACTTTTCCTTATTAATCTTCCGTACCCAACAAATTGAAGATTAACAAATCCAAGTTCATTAGGCTAATGGAATCCTAGATTGATTTCATTGTTGCTCAAATCTATCTCTAGCATTCAAAATAACAATGGTAATTATCCAAGAAGCTCAACATGATTCATTTCTCAATCTCATCATGTTCAACAAGTAAAATCAATAAAAATTGGTATAATCACACAATCTATGCAATAGAATATAAAAACAACAATAATCAATTGATTAATCCATAGAAATTTGAATTACATCAAAACCCTAACCCAAAATGGGTTAGTTCATAACTAAATTAACACAAACAGCAAGAAAAACAGTAAACACAGTAGTCAACATATTGAAATAAAGAGAAAAGAGTAGAGATCTCCCTTAGTTGAAGAATCCACAAGATTAAAGCTCAAATCTTCTCTCCAAATGTAAAAGCTACGCTAAACCAAACAAAAACCGGACGAACCTTGACCAAAATGGCAAGGTTTTTCTTATATAGTTCGCTCAGAAACCTAAAACCTTTCCTAAAATAAAATTGTGCATTTTGGAGAAAACAAAATTTCACAGACTCTCGCCGCGGTGATGAACTAAAGTAAATCTCGTGTATAGCTTCTTTCGTCACGGCGAAGAATAAACTTCATTGCGGCAAACCTTCTTGGAACATTCAGAATTTACAGAATTGCCCCCCTCTTGCTTCCTTGTTTGAATCTTCAATCTTTGATGCTTTCCCATGGGAACAAACTTCATAGTGCTTCAACCCTACTTCAGAACTTTCCCAAATTCTGAGATTCGCTTACTTATGGGTCTAGAAAATCCAATCCACTCATTATTTGCTCAAAATGCACGTTTCAATCTGAAACATAAAATGTATAGAATTAAGTTACAATTCAGGCATAAACAAACTAAGAAGTATCTAAAATCCAGCCAAAAAGCCTAAATAATATAGTATAATCCTTAGATTATCAGTCTACCATATAGAGCTTCATAAGGAGCCATCTTAATTGTAGACTGATAGCTGTTATTGTAAGCAAACTCTATCAATGGTAGCATCTCATGCCAGGTTGTTTTATAATCCATACAGCACGCTCTCAGCATGTCCTCAACCACCTGATTGGTTCTCTCAGTTTAGCCATCTGTTTGTGGGTGGTAAGCTGTACTAAATGGTAACCTGGTACCCAAGTTTCTCTGTAGACTAGTCCAAAAAGCTAAAACAAATCTGGAATCTCTATCTGATACTATTGTCTTGGGCACCCCATGTAATCTAACTATCTCTCTGATGTAAATCTAGGTCAACTGCTCTGAGGTGGTACTGTCCCTTACTGCAAGAAAATGCGTTGATTTGGTTAATCTGTCTACTATCACCCATAGCGCATTATAACCCTTTTGAACTCTTAGAAGGCCTGTAATGAAATCCATCAATATATCTTCCCATTTCCATTCAAGAATGCTAAGTGGCTGAAGTAGTCCTGATGGTCTCTGGTGCTCTACTTTAACCTGTTGACAAACCAGGCATTTAGCTACATAATATCCGATATCTTTCTTCATACCTAGCCACCAATAATTCTTCTTTAGATCTTGATACATCTTGGTTCCTCCAGGATGAGCAGTATATGGTGTGTTATGAGCCTCCTCAAGAATCTTCTTCTTCAACTCAACATCTTGAGGAATACATATGCGATTCCAAAAATGGAGGACACCATCTAAAGGGTGAAATTCTGATATCTTGCCTTCCAACACTTGTCGACTTATTTTCTGACACCACTTGTCGACAACTTGCTTTTCTTTTATTTCTTCCAGTAAAATAGGCTGAATTTCCAACCCAGCAATCCTTCCTGATATCACCTCAATCTGTTCCCTGCATAATTCTTTTAATAGTTCTTTCTGCATTATGAGTCGGGACAAATAAGCTTTTCTCCTCAAAGCATCAGCTACTACATTAGCTTTTCCAGGTTGATACTTAATCTCACAATCATAATCTTTGACTAGCTCTAACCATCTCCTCTGTCTCATATTCAGCTCCTTCTGGGTGAAGAAATACTTCAAACTCTTATGATTAGTATAAATATTGCTCTTTGCTCCATATAAGTAATGCCTCCATATTTTTAGTGCAAGAACTATCGCGGCTAACTCTAAACATGCGTAGGGTATCTTGTCTCATACTCTTTCAACTATCAAGAAGCATAGGCTATTACCCTACCCAACTGCATCAACACTGCACCAAGTCCTTGAAGTGAGGCATCTGTATAAATATCATAGTCTACACCCTCTTGTGGTAACACTAGAATAGGAGCTATGGTTAATCTTCTTTTTAACTCTTGAAAACTTTCTTCAAAAGCATTCGACCATATGATAGGAATTTCCTGTTTGGTAAGAGCTGTAAGTGGCTTAGCCAACTGGGCAAATCCTGTTACAAACCGCCTGTAATAACCTGCAAGTCCCAAGAAACTTCTAACCTCTTTTACTGTTTTCGACTTTTGCCACTCTAAAATTGCCTTCACCTTACTAGGATCCATTGATATGCCTTCCTTAGGGACGGTTCGGCCTAGGAAGATAACTTGATCTGGCCAAAACTCATATTTAGAAAATTTGGCAAACAGCTTCTTATCTCTCAATCGTTGTAGCACAAATCTCAAATGCTCTTCATGCTCTTCTCTTGTCTTAGAATAAACCAGGATATCATCAATGAACACCACTATAAATCAATCAAGACAATCATGGAATACCTGGTTCATTAAATCCATAAAGACTGATGGGGCATTGGTTAACCCAAAAGGCATCACCACAAACTCATAATGCCCATATCTGGTCCGGAATGCAGTCTTGGCAATATCTTGCTCTGCCACCCTTACTTGATGATAACCTGACCTCAAATCAATCTTTGAAAACACTATTGCTCCTTTCAACTGATCAAATAAGTCATCTATGCGAGGTAACAGGTACTTGTTTTTCATTGTCACTTTATTCAACTCTCTGTAATCTATACACATCCTAGGGACCCATCTTTCTTCTTCACAAATAGGATTGGAGCTCCCCAAGGATAATGGATGGGTCAAATAGAACCCTTATCTAGGAGTTCCTGAAGTTACTTCTTCAACGCCTGTAGCTCAGTTGGGGCCATCTGGTAAGGGGCTTTAGAAATCGGTGATGTCCCTGGTGCCAGTTCAATGCTAAACTCCATTTTTCTTTTTCGAGGTAAACCTGGAAAATCATCCGAAAATACATCTGGAAACTCCCAGACTATTGGTACATTCTGGATCTCTGATCAAGGGACATCACTGTTTTGCACCATATGGCAATTTATCCAGAGCACCCTTTTCTTAGCATTTTTCTAGCCTTTACACTACTAATTAACATACTAAGTTGATGGCCTTCTCCGAAACTAAACTTATCACCATCATCAAGATTAAATCTTGCTTTCTTCTTTCGGCAATCAATTTCTACTCCATATCTCCCTAGGAAATCCATGCTCAAAATAAAATCAAAGTCAAGCATGTCAAACACAATCAAATCTACTGGCAACATTCTTCCATGGATCACTACAAACTCCCCTGGAAGCATTTCCCGAGTTACCACACTATCACCATCTGGCAATTCTATCTTAATGGGTTGTTCTACTGTAATAGGTTTCAAACCCAATCTCTCTATTATCCCATGTGTAATAAATGAGTGTGGTGCTCTAGAATCAACTAATGCATAAAGGGAAACTGAATGAAATAATAACTGACCAGTAACCACCAATGGGCTGGCCTCGGCTTCACTCTGTGCAACCGTGAATACCTGAGCATTAGTACCTCTGGATGTCTGTGCTGTGGGTGTAGGAGGAGCCTTACAATCTTTCATCATATGTCCGGGTTGTCGGCATCTAAAACACACACCTTTGGGACACTCTCCCAGATGATATTTCCCGCATTTCTGACATTGGGGAAACTCAATAGTTCTTGGCCGTTTGTTCTTCCCATCCCTCTTGTTCTTCTTTGACTGAAATCTTTTCTTATTCTTCCCTTCTCTACTATTGGGGGTATCAAATCTGTCTCTCTGTAGAGCGGGAGGTGGAATATTGGACACTACTGTTGATGGAGTCGATGAAGTCAACTTATTAACAAATACTTTGGCTCGCAAAGCTCGCTCCAAAGCCTCACTATAAGTCTGAGGGGGCTGGGCACCTACCATCACATCTCGGGCTATTTCTGGATTCAACCCATGCACAAACTTATCCCTCCTCAACTTTGGTGTGCTCATTATACCTGGTGCAAACCTCGCCAAGGAATTAAATCTAATGGAGTATTCCTTCACTGAACTGATTCCCTAACGTAGGTTAATAAATTCCTGTATCTTTTCATGCATTGTATCAGTTGTCCTATATTCTACCTCAAAAAGTCGTCTGAAATCTCCCAAGGTCATCATGGCTACATCATGAGTCTCCTCCATCAACTCCCACCATATCCAGGCATCACTCTTAAACAAGAAACTCGCATACCGGATCTTCTCCCAATCTGCCATGGGAAAAAGTGTTGTCGTATGCTCCACAGATCTAATCCATTCTTCTGCCACTGGTGGATCAGTCGTACCTCAAAATTCTAACAACTGATGCTGACTAGGTAACCCATAAATGGGCTCAAGACGACTCTGTACAATCAGAGGTACCGGCCTTTCTCTCTCCTATCTAGTGGTCAGTGGTACAACAACTGGGGTCTCAACTCCCTCTGATATAGGTCTCCCCTAGCTCTCTGCCAATACCTGCTGAATAATAGTATGAATCCTCGCCTCATCAAGGACAGGGGGAGTAGATCCGGACGGGTTGGATGGCTCACCGTACTCGTTGCATTCTTCTGACCGGATCGAGTCGTCTGTCTCATCTAAAACACATAGCATCAATACCATTAGTCAGCTAATACAAGTGAGAAAAGAAATAACTTACAACGATCGGCTATGGTACATCAACGAGGCAGGAGAGGCGCACTGTTAATTTCCCAAAATCGACACTCTGATACCAAAAATGTAATATAACATGTAGCTAGTAATTCTGTAAGAAATATAAGATAGAATTTACTAAATAACTTTTACAAACATATATATACATAATGTAAATCTGAAAGTTCTAATTTTTATTTCATATAAATATATACACAAAATACTGATATACTTTAGTAAACATAAGGTAATCTTGAACAGTGCCTCCAAACTCCACCACTTCTTGACGTCCCACCCGATCGCAAATCGTCTAGTACCTACAAAATAGTAAATTAACAAAGTGAGCACTAATTGCTCAGTAAGTAAACCAAACTGCACTACTATGTTTCCTCCGTTACTCATGTTCTGATTTTTCTTTTTCTCACTTTATTCTTTGATTATATTCTTCATTCTTTTCTGTTTCTCTTTCTCTTATGCTGCAATCTCTTTCTTTTATTTTATGTTTCTCTTTCTTTTATTTCGTCTTTCTAGTTTGTCGATCAGACTAGGTTGATGCATAGATTTGGAACCCTGGCCATGTGAGTGGGTACAGTCCTCATCTGCATGCACTGCTCTCGAACTGTATAAGTACTATATCTCTCTGATGTGGCCGCTCGCTCATGGCAATGTGCATGTAGGTATACTCTACTAGGTACAGTCCTCATCCACATACACTACTCACGGACTGTACAAATACTGTATCTCTTTGCTGATGCCGCTTGCTCATGGCGGCGTGTATGTGGGCATCTCTATGACTCACGGGTTCCCCATCGCAAAAACCTTATATCATAGCATAATATAGAAAGACGGGTTCCCCATCGCAAAAACCTTATATCATAGCATAATATAGAAAGAGAATAGAAAGAGATACTATGCACATTTCTACATAAATTCCCAAGCTATGGAAATTCTACACTTGCATTCTTTAAAAAAAACAAAAACTTTCCATATATGAACATATCATTTCATCATGACCATTTCATGGATGCATAACAAATTCATTACATCAAATATATATGTTCATACAATAATTAAATAATCATAAAGACCACTCATTCAAACATGCTTCACAACCCTTTAAGCATCATTTTCATACTCAGGATCAACCATTGATTATTAGGCTATAAGCAAATTAATAAAGTGGAAGCACTTTTGAGATAGTCATTTTGCACATGTCATATTCAAGAAAGCATGTCTCGAGTTATACACATTAGATTGCTATGATCTTGCTCTCATTTTAAATCTTAGAGAAAGGGCTACAACGTTTATGTTTAGGACTTAACCCATTTCGATAGGTAAGATGCCTAAAAATCACTCAGAAGGTCACGGACTTGACAGCGCAACCTTGGTAACATGCCTACTTTAAGGCTTTTCCATACCTATTTACCTCCACTTACTCCCTAACCTTTCCTAACCATTCACCCTTGTGAAAACAGGTTAAAAGATCAATAATATACATTCAAACTTCAAGTCTTGCCTTTCTCTAACCCTTTCCTCATCAGGGTTTAGCCAACTCATGCACGCAATTTCTCTTTGGATTTTCATCAAACACTTTATATGCACATGCAACTACCTTGTTGGCTACACCTCCACAACTCTCTAATTCCACCAAATTGTGAGCCAAAAACTCACTAATTATAGTATCAAACCTGTCCATTTTCAACAATTCTCTACACTTCAAAAATTTCAACACAAAATCTTCCACAACTTCACCAAACCATCACATAATCATACACTACTTCTCATGGCTAGAATTTATACATCAATAAACATAAAAAACAGCCCATAAATTCTCTCATACCATCACATACAAACATGCAAAAATTCATTCAACACAAGTTTTGCTCAAATTAAGGTTCAAATTAGGTTTACCTACCTTGAATATGTGAGATTACTTCCCTTTTGCTCTAAATCTCTTCCTCTTGGACCTAAATCATATAAAAACCATACGAAATTAAAACTTTAAAGTTTAATCACACTCATTTTGCTAGAATTTTACCTTAGGATGCTTGAAGATTGAAAATCTCCAAAAATCTAAACCAAATCCTATGATTTTCCTTTGAAGTTTAGTGAAGAAAATTGAGAGAAAAATGGGGTAGAGTGGCGTGAACAAGGGCTGAATATGTGTCAGGGTTTTCTTCAAATAAAGCCTTATATCAACTAATATAAGCATGTGTTCCCATTTTGCCCTTGCACTTTCTATAAAATTCCATCTATGTCCCTTAGTCAATTACCATAATGCCCTCATTTTTATTGCATTATTCATGAAATTCTATCTCTTTTTACCCCCCACAATTTCAACTAATTTTGAGTGGAAAGACCATTTTACCCTTAATGCAAGTTTAAGGCATTTTCTTCACATTTCAAAAAATAACTTAAACAAAAATCAGCTAAAGGTATAAGAGCGTAAATTAAATTACGTACCTCCATGTGGGCGTTACAGGTTGGTGCCCAAGCCTATTCCACGATGGAATAGGGCAAAGTGTGCACTATATAAGTGCAACACTTTGTGAAATTAAAATTAATTCATTTCAATCATTTGAAGAAAAAAACCTAGCCCCCATTTTCTCTCCCACGCCAGTTTTCCTTTTGCTTGAAACAAAACTTGCTTGACTTTGTTCTTGGTTCTTAAGGCTAAAGAGGATCTAGTAAATCTCTCTTTAGTTCCTTGTGGATATCTTCGTGTGGACTAACGGCGGTTCGATCCTACCCTTGGATCAGTAGCGAAACCCATTCAGAGTTAAAGTTGGAGGAGTCTCCAAACGTGGGTATGGTTTCTTAACTTTAAATTGATTTTCTGCAGATTTGTATTTAATGCATAGACTATTAAAATTTGTACCTTGGTCTTGGTTCTAAAGAATGATCCATGTTGTTTATGTTTTTGTTTCCGCTGCCATAACTTGATCGTTTCCTAGCAAAATGCTCATGACACAACCATTTCCATTAATTGCCATCAAATTTCAATTTTCTACAATTCACATATAAATCCATCAATTGCAAATTATAGCATCAAACCAAGCTCAATTTCTTTTGTGTGCCAAGAATTGAGGTTCCCTAATACTAAACCTAGAAACCTAATTCTTATTTCATATCAAAGGTAGGTTTCCCTTACCTTGTGTGAAAAAACCATACTCTTTTGCAAATTTCCTCCTCTTTATCTCCAAGTGACTCTTTATCCTAACATAATTCATAAGAAAACTTTAATAACTTGAAATACATAATAGTCATATAAGACAAGGAGTTGAAATTTACCTCCTAATATCCTTAATAAAGGAAGAAATATAAGACACTTGAAAGATTGCAACTAAGAAGCTTGAAATTTCAATGGAGGAAATAGAATTAATGGAGAAGTATTGAAGAACATGATGGAATATTGTAGAAATATTGAAGAAGATGATGGAAAGTGGAAGAATACATGTGTTGGCTGACCTATACAAACTAAAATCAAGATTTTTTTTTTTTTTTTTGCAAAAGTCATTCATTTGTCTTTTGCATTTAATGACTTAAAACATTATTTCCCTTTTTTCCTTTAACAATTTTCTTTATCTTGCCCTTATCATCATTCTTTTACCACTTTACCCCTAAGGCATTTGCATGGCAGTTAACTTAGCACATAAAAATGAAAAGACTATTTTACCCTTGGACATATCGGTGGGGTTTACAACATATAAAAATATTTTATAATAATTATTAATAATAAATCAAAATTAACATAATTTATAAATATTACAAGAAAAATTTATAGGTCAGCCCACAAAGAATAAGGGTCGGCCCTATAGCGTGTCGTGCATAGGCCTTCAGATTTGGCGAGCCAGCATGACACGACAAGGCATGAATTTCTACGGGTCTTAGCATGGCACGGCACGGCATGGCCACCGCTGGCTCTAATTGTACTTCTATTTGAAATCTCATGTTCCCTAATTCCTTGCCTCCATCCTCTCTTGTGAAGTGGTTCAATCACTTCATTATTTCTATAGTATCTCAAAACTCACAACAATGCAAATTCTCTCTTTCCTATTCACAAACCATATATGGATTTTCAGTCACAATAGCCAAAATTAACGACAATATGGAAACATCAACTATAAACTATTGACTGGAAAACTCTCTCAAATCAATTTCCCTAGATATAAATGATGCAAGAAAAGCAAACCTACGTAATTGATAAAATGTTATAAGCAATATTGAGATATTTAAACTTCGATATCAATTATCACATTAAGTAATCACTTTATCAAAAACTAGAAACTATTTGGTGAATGTCTAATATTAATACTTAAATCTAGGTATAACGAGGTATTATGAATACGAAGATTTAGGGTAAGAATCAATTTAAGCAACTGTACACAAAAGATTATTTTAACACGTGATGAAGAAAAGTGCTCTAAAACAAATCATAAATAGAAATTTAAATTAATTCATTCATTGAAATCAACATGGAATTGCATGTTTACTATCTCTTCTAGATGGCTAGGTTCTCCATCCTAAATAATAATTTATGATTTCTCCTCAATGAGTCTGCTATGTCATTGTAGTCGGTAACTTTTAAT